TTGTACATAGGGTCGCTATGAGACCAGGCAACTCGACAGCACATAACAACAATATTTAAGAAAGCTCATTCTCTGCATCAAAGACATACATGGAATTGGATATGCACATACTCACTGGTGGCACAATGCTGGTCTTTCGAAGATCTCATTACAAAGCTAATCCAAGCTCTTCCTGAACACTCTACATTTCAAAATCAGCAGGTGTCCTTGGTGATAAATGAGGAGTGATGAGAGAACACCATGAAAATTTATGTTCCTCTTTAATGGTCTAATTGTTGATCATTTTAAATTGTTATTAACTTCCATGTCAGTAATTCTTGATATCATATGCTACACTTGACTAGGAAGAGAATAGATAATCATACACCAGAGATAACCAAGCATGATCTTTTGGTCATTAGTTTTATCTTCCCAATTTTTCTCCTTAACAAGAGATATTATATACATCAACGTTATCTATTTTCTATGGGACACATGAATATGTAAGAAAATTCCCAAAGATGCAAAAAACTGAAAAAAAAACCAGAGGTCACAGAAAATGTGCTTATGAAAAATGAGCTGCATAACCAAGGTAAATTTTTTTTTTAAAAATTTAATTTCAATTTTAAAATGGCTACTACATTAAAGAGTTATGACACCAACTGGTCCAAGGGAGAAAAATGGGAAATCTCTTTCCATATAACTTACATGCTCTGAAAACCCAGTGGAGGGCTGGCTAGTAGTCATTTCTGACTTTACAGCACATAACAACCCTATAGACTCTAATGGAGGTGTGCTGCGAACCCATAGGTGATCTCTCCGGCAGTTCAAATCCACAGATCAGTTCCACAGATGAATGATGGGCAAATTCTCTCCATGAAGTTTACAGACTCAGAAAATCTGCTGGAGAGTCATCTATGAGTCAGTTTCAACTCGATAACAATGAGTTGGACAATGAATTAGAAAGATCAACGAAGAACACATGGCTTTGAATTGGGGAGGTGGTGAAGAGTATTGAGTATCACATGGACTTCCAAATGAACAATTCTGGAGGCAGGGTAAAGAAAGGTTCTGATCTGTTGTCCATAAAAGGTTGCTACGAGTTGTGGTCAACTCGAGGGCACCCAGCAACATGTATTTAAGATTTATAAATTCTTAGAGCAGTCTTTCAAGGAAAATATTAAACTTATTTACATATTAGAAAACAGACACAGTGAGATTACAAAACCTGGTGAATGACTGAATACAAAACCAATTTGCTCTGTAACCTTTCAAAGCACAACAAAAAGTTAAAAAAAAAAAACACCCACCAAGAACTTTCTGAACGCAACAAAGGTTAAAGTATCAGCCTTTAAATTTTTATTTTTTGTTGAAAATTTATTGACATACTGGCAGATTCACATGCAGTTGTAAGAAGTAACATTAAGAGTACCACGTACCCTGTACCTCTTTATCCCCAACGTTATCTTGCAAAACTACAGGATAATATCACAGCCATGAAAATGATGTTGATACCATCTACCAGCTTGGCTCATATTTTCCTAGTTCTACTTGCACACATATGTTCTACACAATTTTAAATAATGCTTAGGTTCAAATGCTCACTCTTCCAATGAGGACATTTTATGTAGCCATACCCTCCTTCCTCGTATTTTTCCTTCCAGGTCCCTAAATCCTGGCAACCATTTATAAAATGTTGCCATTGCAAAATGTTACCTAAGTGAAATCAAGCAGTATGCTATTATGGGGGTTATGGTTTTTATACTCGATATAATTTCCAGAATATTCATCCCGGCTATTGTGCGTATCAATAGGTCATTCCCTTTTTATAGCTGAGTAGTTTTCCATATTACAACTGTACAGGCTTGTTTAACTATTCATTCACTAAATGACATCTGAGCTGATTCCACTTTTCACTTTTATGAATCAAGTTGCTACTAACATTTGTGTACAGGTCTTTGTATGAGCATAAGCTTTACTTCCTTGTGATAACTGCCCAACACTACAACAGATGGACTCTATTCTATCACATACTGCTTGATAAGACATCATTTTTCAGAGTATTATGCCAACTTTTGACGTTCTTGGGTAACTCATACAGTTAAATGCATAACAACTAGCCAAAAGTTTGGTAATGTGAATGCACCCAGTAAATGCTTCAGAAGACACACTGGTAATCTGTTTCTTAAAGATGAAATCTTAAAAACTCGATGGAGTTAAAAAACTCATGACTTAAAAATTCTATTGACAAACATCTAGTGAGATTGGTTTACTGGGTTTGAAGACATAGCACCATAGTCATGTTGGACTATTCAATGCATTGGCATAATATAGTTGATAAAGTATATGCCCACAGTGGTGACTAATGTCTGGGCTCTTAACAGCTTCCTAGAAATCATCTTAAATATAACTATTGGTCTCTATTCATCCAGAACAAAGGAGAAAGAGGGGGGAAAAGACTTAGAGAAGAAAGTGGTCTACAGGACTTATAGTATGCAGAAACCATGGCCTTGCCTATTCTCAAACCAGAAGAATTCTGATCAGGGCCACAATAAATAGATCTTGATAAAAGATGTGAACTCACATTTGCAAAAAGGCAAGAATTACTTCCCTGAGAATACCACTTTAAGGTATTTTTTAAACTCTAAACCAAAATCATCTTTTGAGGTCATCTTTTAGAAAGATTGGCTCATAAAATAAATATAAGTCAGGACTAATGAGCTCCTTTTCAAAATCATCTCTATAAGGCCAAATGACCCAAAATTACTGAGACTGGATGGGAACAGAGAAACTAGGATATTAAAAAGATGGTACAACTAGAAGAGGATGAATGAGAATGGTGACATACTGTGAAAAATACAACCAATAACAATGAATAATTTGTGTAAAAATTATTAGATGGGAGTCTGATTTTCTATGTAAACTCCCACCAGACACACAATAAAATAGTATTAAGAACAAAAAACCCCACCCAACCATACCAATAACCCTATGGATCACTGAAGTGAACTCAAAGGCAACTAACAACAGTATGCATTCCACAGCCATGTAGGAATGATGTGCCGTCTGCATCATCACTAGTAGTTGGTGCTGCCACTGGTTTGCAGTGTGTGTGTGTGTGTGTGTGTGTGTTCTTTTTCTCCATTTTAGCCATCTTGATAGATATACAGTGATATCTTACTGTTGTTTTCCTTCTCCTGATTACTAGTGATGTTGATTGTCTTTTTATGCCTTTTGCATTTACTTTTATCCTCCTATTTAGAACTGAGATTATTAGTAGTAGTATTATTAGTAGATAAAAGCAGCCTTGGTTTTTAAAGACCTATTGTCATATTCTCTCCATTGAAACTGCAGTTCTTCTTTCTTAAATATCTAAATTATAATACAAGAACCTTCACTAATTTTCTTTATTCAGAACTGCAGTTATTACAAAGATGTTGTAACAGATACTGCATTTATAATACTTCTTCGAAAACATTTTAACATGAAAAGCTACTGCTAAGATGAATAGTTAAACTCCTATGTATCCATCATCCCCAGATTAAATAACCAGCAAAGTTTAAGTAGAATATTTTACCTGTATTTTCTAATTTTTTTCCTGTTGTGTACCGTTAAGTCAGATCTGACTGGCACAGGAGGAAATCACCCCTCCTTCTCTAGCGGACCAGCTGGTGGATTCGAACCAGGAACCTTCAGGATTGCAGCACACCTTCTTGCCACTAGGCTACCAGAGCTCCCTTACATTTTCTAATTTTTCTTATGTTACTCAGATGCTTCTGAGGCCAACTCCTTGGGTATCTATTTGGTACTGAAAATATATTTTAGAGAAAACTTCTTAAAAAACTTATTTTACCATAAGTCTGGATTTGTCT